AAAGTCAAAGTTTTATTGCTTTATGGTTTTATGGTTAATTCTAATGTATGCATGCAGTGCATAATTTTCTTGTCTTATGCAAAAAGGATTCGGTTAAAAAAATGTGTTGCGTAAATTTTTATGAGCTTGAACATTTTTTAAGGAGTAAGGAATGCTTGGAAATACCTAGAAATTGTAAATGTTAAATTGGGGGTCATAAATGATTTTTTTTAAGAATCTAATGCGAAAGAAGTTGGAACTTTTCTAAGAGTTTTAAGGCTTTTATGCTGTTTTTAATAGGAAAAGTCACGAAAAGTATCGAATTCTTATGAATTTGACCATAATAGAAAATTCAGCTAGCATATTAAAAGTTAAGTCTTATGAAGTTCGGTCAGGATTTAATTGGACATTGTTGTTGTAATGCAGTGGTTCTTAAGCTGTGTATCATGACACATCAGTCAATTTTGAGCTCACTAATACTATCATAAAATTTTCAAAACTCAAAATTGAATTTATCTTCTTAAAATCAACTCAATCACAACTGGATCGTTGTTTAGATTATGATCACTAGCTTGGTTAAGCTTTAATCATTATAATTAAGTGTTCTGAATGCAGTTTAGATTGTAATTTGTTGATAAAATGCCAATTTACCAAAAAATTATTTTTATGGAGTGCGTTCAGAAATTCAATTTTGAAATTTAATGCCAAAAATTAAGTACTTTTTGATTTCTAAACACAAATATAAGAGTTTTTTGCTCATTTCTGAACATACTCGTACTGAGATGGTGAAGGAGTCAAGCATGACGTAATAATCGAACGAACCATCAAATAAGATTAATTTCGCAAAGTAACGATCGAAATACCTACTGTGCATGTATGTATAATAAAACATTCAAGTCTGAGAATTGCATAGATGTTTCCGCGCTATAATTTCTATTTCTAGCACAAAATTCAATAATAAAATTTATGAGAACCCAAATCAAGTCTATTGCAGTTGTTACCTATTGTTAAATAGAAATAACTAAAATTATAGCATATATATTTTTATATATTCTTCTACCTACGCTCTTTCGGCAATTCTTGACATTTTTCACTATCATTGATTTATGTCTATGCTCCGGAGCCTTCAAATCATATTATACAGACACAAATTCAAATCTTCATTTAGTCATCAAGCACCATCAATTTATTTTATTTTTTAAAATTGTAAAAATTAACAAAAGAAATTCAGAAAAAAATAACCAAAATCTCTAAATAAATTAAAACAGGTAATTTTAAGGTCCAGAATTTATTCCTTTTTTTTCTCTGCACAATTTTTTTGTGTTGTTGCATTTTTTTTCCTTTGTTTCCTTTTTCTTAAATATATCCTTTTTTGCTCAATACATGCATCCCTTAAAGTATGAAATATTTACGTTAGGTGACCAATGCATTGGAATTTCTCAATTCTTCTTCTATATCTTATTATTGCTAGTCGCCCTACTCAATTCTTTAAAGCAGGTATTTAGATTTCATTCTATTATTCTCTTTTTGCTATTGCAATGGCACTAAATTTATGTCAAAGATCTTTTATACTTACATGTATATGTATATCTTTAGTGTACACATAAAATATTACGCAAGTTATCGATTAAAAGGAATTACATGAAAAAAATCTGTTAAAAAAATCCCAAATAATTTTTTTTCTTACCTAAACAATTTTTTTTTTGCGTAAATAATGCACAAAGTAAATTTTTTAAGGGCACAATTGTAAAGAGATCCTGAAAATTATATGCATTTATTGAAATGTCGAACAAAGGATGAAGAGATTTTTTTTTGCACAACAAAATTTTTCTCACGATCTAGAATTGATAAATCTTCGTCTATACCTTTTTATTCTTTCTTTATAAAATAAGCATTGATGATTGAAAATGAAAGTTTTTATCTCCTTTGATGATTGATTTTTTTTTTTTTTTGGTAAAAATCATTAAACACATCTCAACATGTGAATGTGAGTGAGTGCGAGAAAACGAATGAGAAGACGAAGAAGCGGAAAAGGCAGCTTTAATGATTCTAACCGTGAAACATTCGAGCAAATAACCATAAACTACATTCGTTAAGGAAAAATCGATAATTTCAACATAGTTTGATACATGAAAATAAGAAAAATCCCTCAGATATGTGAACGTACTACACATTCGTAGTAGATTGTTGTTTTCGAGTCATGGAATTACGCGAAACGAAAGGGAAGCAATTTTTACTTTACTCGTAGTTTTTGGATTGACTAGATACATAGTTCAAAAGTCACATTTCTTCAGTCTTTAATTTGATGCTCTCGGATATTGAATTTTAGGTTAATTCGTCCAAAAGGTTTAATAGTAGCGAACAGCTTAATTGCCGTTAAATTCGAAAAAATTTGAATCAACACTAACACTATCATACATAGTCATTTTAAAATCAACTTAATTACAACTAATTCTCTGCTTTTATTATGATTAATAGCTTGACAAAGCTTAAATCATTTTGATTTAGTGTTCTGGATGCAGTTTAGGCTATTAATTAATTGATAAAATGTGAATTTTCCAAAAAGAAAAAATATAATTTTTTATGCGTGCGTTTAGAAATTAAAATTTGAAATTTAACGGAAAAATCTGAACTCAAAAATAACGAAAGCTCTCCAAATCCCTGAAATTTAACATATCTTAAAATTAAGATTCTGAACCAATAATTTGTCGACTTAGTCATGCCATCCAACCAACCCATAGTGAATACATTAAGGCAACATTTAATGTTGATAAAAATGCACTGAAAAAAAATCTCCCGACATATCAGACTCTCAACAGCACAGCATTAAAGTCAAAAGCAAATATTTTGCTGTATGCCACAGCAAATAAAAGAATAAGAATTATGAAACAACTGAGAATGATTTTTTTTTCTTGTTTATTTCGCTACTGAAATTCAAACAGTCGGATATAATCAAAAGAATATAAAAAGCGCGCGGTTCATCTGACAGCGAAATAGCAAAAAAAAAATGAGAAAGATCTACAAGAAAAGAAATAACCTTCGAATTGCGAATAAAAATAAAATAAGAAGAAGAAATAAAAAATTCCTCGAGATGCTTTTTTTTTAAAAAAAAATTTATATTCGTATTTTTTAATGTAAAATAACCACGCCTTTTACATCTCATTACAATTTTATACTCGTATATACATCTATATATATAAAACGTAGGTAATTTCTATATGATTTTTCATATCAACTCACTATGCTGAGCGACGGATATTCGTTTTTTAAAGAAAACATAAAAAAAAGAACTCTGCTGTGTGCTGCTTCTATTCCCGCTCATTCTCTTTCGCTCTCGCATCTCACATCCTGAATAAAAGATTAAAAACAAATGTGAATGTATTGGTGCCAAAGTAGGGGAAAAAAAAGCTCTCGATTGAGCAATACTCACATGATGATGCCGTTTTGCTACATACAATACCAAAAAGTATTATGCTTGACTCTCTGCAATTCTTTTCTTCTTCTTTTACTTCATTCCTTTTTCTATTTTGTTGAATGTGCCGTTTGCTTACCAGTGAAATATTAAAATGATTGTTAGTTATTTTGGATAAACGCATCATTAAGGACGTTAGAAGTGAATTAGAATATTTTAATTATTTTTACGTCAGAAAAGCGAATTTTTTAATTTTTGAAGAATTTTTCCAAAAAAAAAACTTTGTGACAAATTTGTGGATTTAAATTAAATTTAAAATAAAATTGACATTAAGTCAGGCAAGCGAGTTTCCAGTGAATAACACAAAAAAAATAAACAATTTTAAATACCAAATTAAATGTGATGCTTTTATTGTCGTCTGGCAAAAGTGCATTAAAAGAGCCGAATGAGATGGTTCTGTCGCAAGTTCAGTCATTTATTTCAAAAGCAGAACGTGATCAGGAACGTGAGGATAACAATAATATTGTTAAGAAAGAATTACTTCGAACACCACCCAGATGTAGGTTTTCATTCAATTTTAATATATAAATATATGTATTCATAGTTACAAACATAATTAGCACGACATAACAATGAGCTATTCAGAATGAACTATAAGGCATTAAGTTTACATTCACTTCAGCTAAAAAACATGATGAATGCAATGAATAGAAAATAAGTTCATTAAATTTTCATGACATTTTCAATCAAAAAATCTTACTCGAGGCTGATGAATTGTTTGCCATCTATCCAATATGAAGCTTGACTAGCTTTTTTTTTTTTGATTAAAATTGAATTTTTTATGAGCTCGTCATAATTCTTGACCACAAAATTGATTTCAACACATTTTTCTTTTGCATGACTGATATTCAATTAGTCATATTTCATTACAACACACAACCTGCTATGTCCAGTGGAAGGAAATCAAAAATAAAATTACCTTTCAACCCCTAAAAATTATATTTTGTGTCTGTGTAATAAAATCGCCCATAAAAACTTCGTCTTCTTCTTGGAAATAGAATCACTTTGAAATTTAAGAATCTTAAAGAAACTATCCAAAAAATAGAATTAAAGTGAATTGGACCTTAATTTGCTGTTGTGAAAGGAAGAAGATTCTCGATAAATGATATTAAAAAAATGTTCCATGTCCAGGTAAAAAAAAAAATGTGCAAAAGAATTTATTTCGAAAGACAAGCATAAAAAAATGTGTTTCCGTATCCAATAATAGACAATGGTCATAGATAGATAGTATTTTGATAGTTTTATTGGTTGGAAAATTAAAAGAAGTCGAGGAAGAGAAGAAAAAGCCAAAAGTCGTCTTTATTTCCCTTAAGTGTTAACAATTAAGTGATTCAAAGATATTAATCTACACTTAATAGATAAAAGTCTAATCTTAAACACAAATTACATCTTGGATATGAAGAAGAAATGAACGAAACACTCATCACTGAGTGAGAAAAGAGAGAAGAAGAAAAAAAAAATCTCGATGAATGAAAATGTTGCGCTATAGTAACACACAAGTTAATTATTTCATTATTTCCTTTCTTTTTTTTTCTTTCTCTTTCACCAGACGTTTCATTGAGTCGATTATCACCTGCACCTTCTCACGGTAAGTCTTTTATAGCCACACACCAAATATTATATATTAAAAAAATAAATATTATCGATTATTGACTTCAAAAAATACATTTTGACCACGACGAAGGCAAGAAAAACTATTTATAAAGTAGCGGATAATAAATCAAAATCTCACTGAAGGAAATACACGAAAAATTGATTCCTGAGAGATTTATCATTCAAGTATCTTGTAATATGGACCAGTAACATCGTAATAACATGTGTTAATAGTATTATAGAATAGATATGATGCCTTTTTTATGATCATTTCTTTCCAACTCTTTGATTTTTTCACGCAATTTTTTTGGCATCAACAGCTTTTGGACTATCAGTTTGTCTTGCTATTGATTTTGACTTTATATCACATGATACAAGGGTGTGGAACTGAAGAATTACATTTTGATCATTTTTCACCAATTTTGATCATTTTTGATCAATTTTGATCATTTTTTGATAATTTCATCAGTACCACATCCTTGGCATGATATGGATTTAACGTTGATGGCTTTTGTGATGTTGTGAGTCAATGCTCGAATCTTTGTCAATATCAACATCCCCGAATATCACAAGTTGGATAATCGAATAGAAATCCGGCACTAAATTGGCTTAACTCAGGGATGATTCTGGATTCGACTTGAGTCCAGCACCATATCAGAGTCAAGGTGGTTTAGTGCTGAATTTTTATTTGATTAACCGACTTGTGCTATTTGAGATCAATGATTGAGAAATTCAGAAAATAGAAGGATTCGAACCCACGATCTTACAGTAAACGACTCAAATTACTAATCTTTCAACTTACCATGCTGAGTCATTCAGTCATATGAGCTTCAAACTCAAACTGGCAGATTTGTTATCACATACAAGATCTTCAAAATTTCACTGAGCTTCACAACTTCTCTTGCACCAAGCATATAATGCCAGAAAATCCATTGAAGTCATTTTGAACCTACGGAGCTAGAAAACCTTAAGTTTGATCACCGATTTTCCATCTTAATGATCTTGAATGATTTTAAGGAATTTCAATCCTCATTTCTCATACCAAAAAAGCATATACAGAGTCCAATTTATCGGAAAATGCGCTTCATACTTTAACATTTATCCGTTACTTATTTCCAAAGCATTTTTTTGCCGTTTTTTTAACGTTAGGGAAAAATGCAATAAAAAATTTTCCCCAAAAAAAAAATATATCAACCCTTTTTTTCTCACACAGCATTAAGAGGCATAAGTAGAAAAAATATTATTTCATGCTATCAACACATTAAGTAACATAATCAATGAATGAAAGGGTTGATAAAATTATTATCGATGATATGATGAATTTGCTATTAAAAGCCTTTTATGTCCGGATGTGATTGATATACGCACTTTTTCTTATTTCTTCATGTACACATATATTTTCATATATATGAGACTTTCTTAATGCTGATGTCGCTTTGTGAATTCACAAGACTTTCGCATTTGTTTTAATTAATGAATAAATGAATGAGTAAATGAATGAATGGAATGGATTTTTTTGGTAAAAGAGTTAAGTTTCACTAATTTTAATTACATTTTCTTGTTGTTTTCATTCTCATTTCATAATAAAATGTCAGATGATGGAAGTAATCAATCAATTGATAGCAGAGAGAATTCAAATTTCAGTCCACCATTGAAGATAAAGACGGAGCCGAATCAGCACAGATTTCAGTCATCTGCAATGAATTTGGTAAGTTCTTCTAAGTTTGTTGCGCAATTACCCTTCCATTTAATCATGTTGAGCGTACGGCATCGACAATTGAAAAGAGAAGAGGGAAAGGGAAGTGTAAAGAGTAAAAGAATTTTTTAACTGGTTGAATAACAAATTCAAAAGACATCGTCGACACATATATGAGCATAAAGGGGTGAAGATCATGCATCAAAAAAGGAATACACAATCTCCTGTTTATGTTCATCTTGCCTAAGGGCGCGTGCCGACAATTCTAGAAGAATTTATGTTTTTATATTGAATACACTTCTCCTTCTACGTTTAGCTTTCTGTTAAACATATTTTCTGCACATCAAACAGGAAACTTAAACGCGATTTTATTTAATCTTTATATTTTATATTTCCTGAACTGAATATCTGATTACGTTACGTTTTCAATTGCTACACAGATTAATGATTCAATACGACACACGCCATCACCGCCTGTATCGATTAATAATTCAGCAAATCAAATGAATATGGCATTAGCAGCACTTCAAAGTCAGATCCCGTTAGCGCCATTACTGCTTCAAAATCAATTAGGAATGGGTGCATTCGGTAATTTGTCTCAGGATGATCTTCAGACATTACAACAAGCAATACAAGCTCAGCAGGCACAATTTCATCAACAATTGCAGAATTACATGTTATTACAAGCAAGTGCGAATTCAGGCACGTCACCTGCTCAAGCACAAGCAGCAGCACAGCTTCTTATACAAAGTCAAGTTCATCAAGCAATGGCACAAGCTGCACAACAACTTCAATCGTTACAGAAACAACAGGAAGATATGAATCGACATAATCGAATGTATGAAGGAATGCGTGCAAAAAGTCCACCAAATAGTCCACCACAAAGTCCCTCAAACAATTATCAGTATACGCCAAAAACATCAATTTCATCAAACAATAACATAACACCACCAAATGCAGCACAACTTTCTGTATCGGGAATGTTAACACCATCAACACCAAGTTCTGGAACTTTAACACCACAAACGAAGAAACCTTCACATGGGATTAGTAATTCACAAACTGTGAGATCAATGGAACCTTCACCAGAAGAGACGATGGATTTAGAAGAGCTTGAGCAATTCGCAAAGACATTCAAGCAACGAAGAATTAAGCTTGGATTCACACAAGGTGATGTTGGCCTTGCAATGGGAAAACTTTATGGAAATGATTTTTCACAAACAACCATATCAAGATTTGAGGCATTAAATTTGAGCTTCAAGAACATGTGCAAACTGAAACCGCTCCTTCAGAAATGGCTGCTTGATGCTGATGGCACATTAGCTGGCAGTGGCGGGTACGTTCCGTAAGAAAAAAAAACATTAATCCTCAAAGAAAATTTTTCGTTAATTAATTATGAATTTCATTGAATGTCCACAGAATTTTTGGAAATAGCTCAATAAATCAACTTTCAACGCCTGAAATGGGACGAAAGCGAAAGAAGCGAACATCAATAGAGACAAATGTCAGAGTGTCACTTGAGCGTGCATTCATGATGAATCCAAAACCGACAAGTGAAGAAATTTTGGCATTAGCTGACAATTTATATATGGAGAAGGAAGTGGTTCGTGTCTGGTACTGTAATCGTAGACAAAAGGAGAAACGAGTTAATCCCACAGATTCCGATAGCCCAACAGAATCACTAAGCAGTTCAGGTGGACTGTTTGGAATAAGTTCATTGTCACCAAGTTTTTCACCATCCGTGAAGCTTGAATATCATGATTCTCAGTGGAAGGATCTATCGACATCATCATATGACATGAAACTACCAAATAATGACTTCACATCATCTCTGCAACCTCAATCCAGTCCATATTCAAAGTAAAGTAAGAAGAAATTTCATATCAATTGTACATTCCAGTTTTCTATAGGAAATAATCATGTAAAAAAATCGAATCGAATTTAATTCACAAAAAATTATACAAAAAAAAGATTTTTTTTTAAATTTGCAATATTTTTGAACTGAATTTTTTAAAAAAAACCTTTTCTTTAAAAGTACTTTATGGAATTCGAAATGGAATCTAAAGTACTTTCAAAGAGAACAACATAAAAAATTCAATTTCAATGGGTCATTGATATTGACCAAACCCATAAATTACTTGATTTGACTCCTTTTTTTCCATCGTAATTAAATCAACCAGTCAGACACAATCCACTCGATTTTGTTGAAGTTAAAATAAAAATTGCATAAATGAATGAATTATTTTATCAGAGATGGCAATTTAAATTAAGGTGATGTCGGGTGTGACTTTTTTCTAGAATTTAAAGAATTTTTCTAGATTGGAAATTCTTTTTCTGTTTTGTTGTAAATTGCATGGTTAAACTATAATCGGGTAGTTCTCTTATGACGCTCAGTATAAAGTAGGATGGGGATGGGGTCTGTACCCGAGTGTCATGCTTCCATAAAGCGGTTTCTAGTGATTTCATTAGGAGAAGATGTCAAAAACTCAATTTTCAAAAAGACATTATAAGTGAGCGACCCTAAAAAAGTCCTTAACATATCATCTCTGATTCTTATTATTATTATTATTATTGCTGCTATCATTACCAAACCAGTGAATTTTGATTTCAAAAAGAAATCTGTAAATCAATGAGAATAAAGAAGAATGATAATTAGTTATAATTAATTCATTAAATGAAACAAAATACGATGATTAATTTTTATATCACAAAATATAAATTACTGCGTTGATGAATGCTGATTTTATTGAAGACGATAATAAAAAACTAGTAAAAAGATCGCCAGTACTTTGGATCTGGGCGACTTCAGCGTATTTTCCTCTTACTGATCAGTAAACTTAGTTGTAACTCAAAATCGTTTGAGGGCCTTAATTTTTCGTACCAGATCTTTAATAGTTCGTTCCAGATTTTTATTTTAAAGATCTGGTAGCATTTAAAACATGTCCCGTATCAAAAACATAAATTCAGTAGCTCTACAGTCATAGTCAACCCCTAAAACAAAGATCCAGTAGCTTTACATTCACATCCATCATTAAAAATAAAGAACTAGTAACTCTAATGTCATATCCAACACCAAAAACTAGGATCCAGTAACTCAAAACTCATATCCAACACCATCAACAAAGATCCCATAACTTCAATGTCATGTCTAACACCAAAAACAAAGATCCAGTAACTCTAATGTCATATCCAACACCAATAACAAAGATACAGTAACTCTAGAGTCATATCCAATCCCAAAAACTAAGATCCAGTAACTCAAAACTCATTTCCAATCCCAAAAACTAAGATCCAGTAACTCTAAACTCATATTCAACACCATCAACAAAGATCCAGTAACTCTAATGTCATATCCAACACCTATAACTAAGATCCAGTAACTCAAAACTCATATCCAACACCATCAACAAAGATCCCGTAACTTCAATGTCATGTCTAACACCAAAAACAAAGATCCAGTAACTCTAATGTCATATCCAACACCAATAACAAAGATACAGTAACTCTAGAGTCATATCCAATCCCAAAAACTAAGATCCAGTAACTCAAAACTCATTTCCAATCCCAAAAACTAAGATCCAGTAACTTAAAACTCATATCCAACACCATTAACAAAGATCCAGTTACTCTAATGTCATATCCAACACCAAAAACAAAGATCCAGTAGCTCTTTAGTCATATCCAACACCAAAAACAAAGATCCAGTAACTCTAATGTCATATCCAACACCAATAACAAAGATACAGTAACTCTAAAGTCATATCCAATCCCAAAAACGAAGATCCAGAAACTCAAAAACTAAAATCTAGTTACGTTACATGAAGCAACGTTCAAAATTTTAACGGCTATTTTGAAATTTGAAATTGTTTTATCAAACTCGTATGTTATGCAAAAGTCGGCTAAGTCGTTGCAAAAAACATATAAAAGTTAATTTAATTAAGTTTTGGTAAGAAGTTATGAAACATAAAGCGGATTCGGTTTGCCTACAATATGGCAAGGATTGAATGCAAAAAATCCGAAGGCTCTATATGCTTTCATTGCTGAGATCTCACGGTACCAGCCAGCCAGCCAGCCAGCCAGCCAAAGTGAAGATAAAAGCGTATTGTTCCTTAGGAAAATACGCTAAAAATCAGACAAGAACTTTTGTGTAAATGAAAAATAAAATACGATAAACTTACAGTCCAAAATTGTCTACAAAGTTTTATTTAAAACATTGATATACAAAAAAGTATACTGAAAAGAAAATAAAAAGAGGCTTGCTTTCAAAATTTAATTCTCTGTTCAAACCGTGAAACAATCAGTAACAATATGATCTACCTGAGCGATTTAAAAAAATATTGAGATTGCATAATTGTGGCTAATTTAAATTGAAAACTTGAATGGGATAGAATTCATGATAATTGAGTTTTAAAGGCTTAAGTGCCTGCGGTTCTTAAATTTTATTGCATCATAATTTAAATTCATGTTCGCGACAGCCATAAAAGGTTTAAAATTAAGAAGAAAAATTAATAAATTACCTAAATTACGTAAATTTTGTTTACTACTGATTTTTTTTTAAATATCTGAGATCGTTTTGCTGTTAGTGTAATAATAAGCACAGCTTAGCAACTATTAATCTAAGTTCTTTAAGGTTTTAACGAAAACAAGAATAAAAATCGTTATTTTTCAGAAATTTTGAAAGTTTTCGAACAATTTCACGAGTGTGTTCACAAAAAAATTGAGTTCGAAAATAAGAAAAACAAAATTACAAATTTTTCTTTGTTTAAAGCTTTTTGATCTTCCAATATGACTTTAAAAGCATTATTTGACGTATAGGGATGCGTTAAAACCATTTAAAAAGCTCAAATACATGAAATAAAGTTAAAATAAGTGAAATAAAATTTCAATTTAAAATGTAAACAAATCATTTTCGAACACAATTGTTTCGATTTCGAAGAATGAGATGGCAAATATCGTTTAGGGGTCGTTTACTTTTGATGTCCAGGGGGGAGGGGTTCAGTAAGAAAAGAACAATAGAAATTCCTGAAATCCATTGTTCTGATTTGAAAAATTACCGGTAATTTCGGAAGTCATAAGTGAACGACCTCTTAGGTTTTGATTTCAAATCAAATTAATAAAAATCCTGAATATATCTTATCAAACTACTAGCTTCAATTATGAGCTATTAAAGTCAAGGATTTTAAATCTTCAATCAACATTGACTACATGAACAACATTTATAGTTTCTAGATTTAATTCATAATTTTTAAGGTTATCAAAATATCTTTTCATAATTTTTTGATTGCTTGGGTGATTCATACCTGACTTAATTCTATTAAACACACAAAAAGAAATTTTTTGTCTTCCAAAGCTACAAAATAAATTGTAACAAAAGTTTATGACAAAAAGCAAGCATCAGAGAACAACATCTAATAATAAATAACTTAATTACATAATGATGATATTAAGTAACGGTTCCTATACTGTAAAGCATTTTAAATCATAGCACAAATGAGGAAAAATTGTCAACCTGTAGTTTTATAAGCCTTTTATTTTATTTCTATTAAATATACATTATATTTGTTCTGTTTAGTTTCATTCTCAGTTGTAAAGTTTTTATTATCATTAATTTTTTTTGTACCATTATAATGTAAGTAGTTAAAAAATATACAACTATCTATAAAATTATAAATATATATATTTTCTTTGTGTAATTTTTTGTTATAGAATTTGTAAAAAGAAACAAAGCTAGATGAAAATTTTAATTTTTTTACACATGAAGAATTTTCTTTTAAAATGCTTAATTTTTTATAAATCATCACAGACATTTTACTAAAGTTTATGGAATTGAGTAATTCTTATTTTGAAAATTTAAAAAAATTCACGAAAATTCTCTGAAACATTTTAAAATTGCATTCAATTATTTAAATCATATCTAGGATCACATTTTATTTATTTTAAACTTTTATTTTTAACCAAAATTTGTGATTTTCATATCAATGAACAAAATTAATAAAACAAAATTTTATAAAATTTAAATCGATTAATTAAGGATAAAATCATTGAAAATGTTAATGTCTTTGTTCACTGATTTAATAAATTTCCGTCAGTTTTTAAACAAAAAAACTTAAAATTGATCAAAATTAGAAACGGATGTTCAAAAATTCAAAGTTAAAGATTCATTCATAAATCAAGTCACTGCAAATTTCAACGAAGAAAACTGACAAATTTATCTAAAAAGTTGAACAAAAGTCTCTAAACTTTACACAAAAGAATAGATAATGATACAAAAATAAAATTAAAAATGTGTTTATGGTTAATAATGAAGTATACAAAAAAAATAAATAAATAAAAGAAAAAATATTTGTGTGTAAAAAAATTGAACAAAAAAATTTAAAAGATATAAAAAAGAAATATTAATAAAAAATCGTATAAATAAAAGAAAATTTAAAAACTATAAAAATGATTGTTAAAAAATTTTTGATATTTTTTCAGCCATATGTAGAGGGACAATTCATTTTATGTAGCTTACTTACCCTTTTTGATGGTTAATAGGAAAGCGATTCTGATTTTCTAGAAAAAAATCTGTCCATCATTCATATCTAATTTTAACATTATAAGGTTATCATTTTGTCTACAATAACCATTTGGGGTCGTTCACTTATGACGTACAAATTGAACGGTCATCTTTCTTAAAAGAACAATCGATTTCCAGGAGTTTCTTTTGTTCTTTTCTTTTTGACCCACCCACGCCCCATGGACGTCATAAGTGAACGACTCCTTTTTGAATTTTGGTGATTCCTTTACAGTTTTTTCAAATTTGATCACATTGTTCTTATTTCAGTACATCAGCTTCTGTTTTTATAGCTTATCATAAGATCCAAAACAACAGGCTGATGTCTGTGTTCCCAACATTCAAGTGAGTCCATATATATAAAAAAAACTTTTCACTTTTCAGATGACATTGCTGCCTGTAGCCTACA